GTAGCGAATATTTACTCATTCTCCAAAAAATACCGATTAAAAGTAAAGGAATTTGGTTAGTTAAAAATATTCCGGATGTCTGAACTGAAAAAATAGATAATAAAAAGAAAAAGCACCCCCACCAAAAGCCGTTAGAATTACAAAAAATATTAATTGAGGCGGTTTCTAATGTTGGAGATTTAGTAGTTGACCCCGCAGCTGGTAGTTATTCCGTTTTAGAGGCTTGCTTACTAACCAAAAGAACCTTTTTAGGCTGTGATATTGTTGATGATAAAAATGAAACAACTATAAATTTGAGATATGTTAATGGTAAAAAAATGCTGATTAATGAAAAAAATATACTTGATAAATATTTTACCAAAAGACATATTACAGAAAAGCTATTTGAAAAAACCAAAAACATAATTTCTCAATATGAAAAAATTGAAAAATATACTTGATTAGAACCAAGTGTAGGAGAAGGGTGTTTTTATGATTTGCTTCCTACCGATAAAAGAATTGGTATTGATATTGACCCCAAAAGAAAAGAGATAATTGAAAGTGATTACTTAAAATATAAACTACCAGATAAACCTTTAATTATTATTGGAAATCCCCCCTTTGGGCATCGGGGAGTTATAGCCCTAGAATTTATAAATCATTCCGGAAAAGCCGATTTTGTATGTTTTATATTACCAATGTTTTTTGATAGCAAAGGTAAAGGTAGTATAAGACATAGAGTTAAAGGATTTAATTTAATTTATTCGGAACAACTAAAAGAAAACGCTTTTTATACCCCAAACAATAATGAAGATACTGATATAAAATGTGTTTTTCAAATTTGAAGTAAAAAATATTCAAATCCTAATATACAAGACTTAAATTGATATTCATTACGAAACAAAAATCCCTTTAAAAAATATTTGGATGTTTTTACGGTCTCACTAGCAAAAAAAAGAGAATGTGGTAAAAAATGAATTTTTGAAGAAAAAGCCGATTATTATTTATCTACTACTTTTTATGGAGAGAACAAAGTAGTTAATACTTTTGAAAAAGTAAAATATAAAAGTGGTATTGCCGTTAAAATAAATACCTCAAACGAAAAAGAAATTCAAAAAATTAAATATTTACTAGAAAATGCTAATTGAAATAAATATAGCAGTTTAGCCACTAATTCTTGCCGACATATTGGTAAAGTTCATGTATATGAAATATTAAAAGATAATAATTTTGAAATAGAATTGTAAAATGTTTAAAGAATTAATGCAAGAAATAATTGATAAAAAATATAAGGAATTAAATTATGACAGAAAAAACCAAAATAATATCTTTTGAAAAATTACCGAATTTGAAGCCAATGCTATCGGTCAAATAGGAGAAGAATTTGTTAAAGAAATATTTAAAAAATTTAATTTAAAATTTGATGAGACTAAAAAAAATGTTCATGATGAATACGATATTTTGTTAGACAGTGGAATAAAATTTGAAATAAAAACAGCCAGGAAAGGAAAAAAGAATGATACTTTCCAATTTAATGGCATAAATCCTCGGTATACTCCTAATTTCATTATTTTTGTTGGAATTTTAGAAAATGATTTACTTTATAGAATTTTAAGTAAAAATAAAATGCCGTATGTTCATAAGGAAAGAAAATATGTTGTTGATTTAGAAACAACCAAAAAACAATTAGTAGAGATGAATCCTGGTAATCAGGTAAATTATAAATTAACCTTGAATAAAAGAGAATTAAAAGATATTAGTAATTTAGAAAACGAGTTAAATAGCATACTAGAAAAATGACCATCTAGATAAAGGTTTTTATAACATAATTAGTGTTTTTTTTAGTTTGCTGTTTTAACCAGACTAGTAAAGAAAAAATTCTCCAAGGATTTAAAAATAAGATAAAGTCGAGTGAAACTTTTACCGGGCAAGAATTTTGTGAGTTAATTGGAATAGATTATCGGGCGATTATTCAAGAACGAGAAAACCAAGACCAAAAAGAGAATATTAGGTTTTTTTGTAAAGAGTTGTT